GGTCCGGAACCGGTCGAGGGACGCGGCGGAGTTCGCGAGCAACAGCCTGGCCATCGTGTCGAAGCTTCTCACGTTGCTCGGCGAATTCAAGATCCCGTTCGGCGGCCGACGCCGCCTAATGGCGGAGGAGGCGGAGGCGGATTTTCCGGCGTGGGTGGGGGAGGAGGAGCGGAGGATGCTGGCGGCGGCAAGGCCGCCGCGGCCGAACGTGACGGTGGCGAGGGATGGAACCGGAGACGTGAGGACGGTGAAAGAGGCGGTGGAGAGGATTCCGAAGAAGAGCAAATCAAGATTCGTAATATATGTGAAGGCTGGCAAGTATGTGGAAAACGTGGTGATCGACAAGCACCACTGGTACGTGACAATGTACGGCGACGGGAAGGATGCCACCATCATCTCCGGCAGCAAGAATTTCATCGACGGCACTCCAACCTTCTCCACGGCCACCTTCGGTGAGTTTTTTGTCTATTTTTTTTTAATTTAATTTTCATTTGCTGATAAATATTTCAATAGAAATTACTAAAGACTCGTAATAAATCCAAGAGATATTTGCTAAATTGCTTAGATAAAATGAGGTAATTAGTAATCACACAGACAAAATCCTGGCATTGCCAAAAATGCAAATGATGTTCTATATCAAGTTGTTAAATGAAATGAGCCCGATTTGGCTTGATAAGCCTAGAGTTCGGTTCACTTATACTGATAAACGAGTTAAGTTTAAGCTTAATTATCTACTCTTTTAGTTACGAGCCGAACTCAGTTATGCTCAATTTGATAATGACTCGAGCTCAATTCATCTTGCTTATTCAATAAGTGTGCTATTCAACTCACTCATATGCTCATGCTCATCATCTTTTTTTTCTTTTCTTTTTAATTTCATGTAATTCAAACAAATTATGAAATTTAACTGTTTGTACTTCACACCCCACCCACCATATGGTCGCACTCTTTAGTCAAGTTCCCAATATTCGCTCCACCGAATTCTATGGTCAACACTAGCTATTTTAATTCTTTCCAAAAATAATAATAATGAAAATGGCTTCATATTTACTTATTTTTCATTAAACTATTATAAAGAATAAATAAAGAATATCCTACTTGACCTGCAATTTCAATAGTTGTTGATTTTAAAAGTGATTACTATAACTAAATTTTACTGATGATTCCATACAACACACACAAAATCTCGACTGATTCAATTTTTGTATCCGAACCACCACCCACCAGCCGTGACAGGAAAAGGCTTCATCGCCCGAGACATGAAATTCGAAAACACTGCTGGCGCCGCCAAGCACCAGGCCGTGGCCCTTCGATCCGGGTCGGACCTATCCGTTTTCCACCGGTGCACGTTCGACGCTTTTCAAGACACGCTCTACGCACACTCTAACCGTCAGTTCTACCGCGAATGTGACATCACCGGAACAATCGACTTCGTGTTCGGAAATGCGGCCGTCGTTTTCCAAAGCTGCCGGATCATGCCACGTCAGCCGCTGGCCAACCAGTTCGTGACCATCACGGCCCAGGGTAAAAAGGACCCGAACCAGAACACGGGGATATCCATCGACAAGTGCGTGTTGAGCCCATTTGACAGGCTCACGGCCCAGACTTATTTGGGCCGGCCCTGGAAAGACTTCTCCACAACGGTCATTATGAGGAGTAGCATCGGCTCGTTTTTGAATCCATTTGGCTGGATTTCGTGGGTACAGAATGTGGATCCGCCAAACACGATTTACTACGCGGAATATCAGAATAGTGGGCCTGGGGCGAGGACGGATAAGAGGGTGAAGTGGGCGGGGTATAAGCCCACTTTGACGACGGCCCAGGCTGCGAGGTTTAATGTGGAGTCCTTTATTCAGGCCTCGTCGTTTTTGCCGGCGGCAAATGTGGCTTATGAGCGTAATTGATTAAAAATGGGGGGACTATAATAAAATAATCCTACACTCTTTTTATTTTTTATTTTATTTTGCATGTTTTTATTTATTATGTCTAACCCATGATGGTGGTAGATTGTACCTTTGACCTGGGGTTGTTAAATTTGAATTTGAATGTACAACTCAAGTTATTAGAATGTCCTTTGTTTCTTTGTAATTAATTCAGGCCATAATATAATTATATGTTTGATATGGTATTGCAATTATAGAGTGCATAATCAAATCTACACTTACATTTTGCATTCATCTATCACAATTCACATGTATGTAATATGTTGTTTGACAAAATTGTAAGTGTAAGCAAAACTTTTTTTTTTTTTGGACAAAAACATAGTGCCTATTTTAGTAAGTCATTTATATTTTGCATTAATTGGTGTAAGGAAAAAATGTGAATTTATTTATTATATTATTCATTATAGAGTTTTAATAATTCCTAGAAATTATTTCATAAATATTATATAAAATCATATTTGTATTGTTCTAATGTCATTTAATCATATAATACAGGACGTATATCGTTTGTACTTCAATAATGATTTTTTTTATACCACATTTTTCTGTGAACTTTTTCGTTCGCATAATTGTATTATGTGATCCCCCTGTGTGATCTCACGATGATCACATATAATGTTTCATGTGACAGTACCATATAACAGTTTTGCTATGGACCATCAAATGACACAACTTATTGAATAATTTATAATTATTGACAAATGATGTAGTGACATGTGACCTACAATAAATAAATTTTGGATATGTGTTAATCCATCAAGTTATGAATGACTCTATAAGAAAATCTGACTCTATATACTTTTTGTATAGTGTGTAAAATATAAAGTTTTGAATTGATTTGGGAATTTTGCCTTATCTTCATTCATTTCATGATGAAAATAATTATTTTTCACTATAATATAATATGAAACACTTTATACTTAAAGATTAAGTTTACTAAACAAGTATAATTGCACTTTTATATACTCAATCGAGATAAGCTACAGACCGACCTTTTGTTATTTTATTAAATGAAATTTATCATAACTTCATGTATGAGGAAAATGTTTATTTTAACTATAATATAATACAAAACAATTTATTTAAAGATTAAATTTACCAAACGAGAATAATCGAATTTAATAAAGTCAATTAAGATGAGCTTCAGACCGACCTTTTGTTATTTTATTAAATGAAATTTATCATATCTTCATGTATGATGAAAATATTTATTTTCACTATAATATAATACAAAATAATTTATTTAAAGATCAATTTACCAAACGAGTATAATCGAACTTTTATAAAGTCAAATGAGATAAGCTTCAGACTGACCTTTGGTTATTTTATTAAACAAGTCAGAGTCATCTAATTTACTAAATAATTACAAACTTGGATGTAAGTTACCGACTCCACTCACGCAAACAAGGCACACCTAGCAAGGTGTGCAAAAGCTTTTTTTAAAATGAACATATTTTATTTTAAAGTTTAAACTGCCTTGGCACACAGTAGTAGCACTGAATAAGAACATGTGTAAATATATTTACACGTGTTCATTTTGTAATGAAATATGTTCATTTTAAACTGTCTTGGCACACCTAGTGATGCAGACCCTAGTAAGATATTGTCCGCTTTGGGCTACTTCCGCCACCCGCACGGCTTTGTTCTTGGCTGGGCTTCAATACACACCCACCAAAACGCGTTTTACTAGTGAAGGTATCCACATTCTCATATAAGACCTGATTCGTTTCCTTTCAAACCCGATGTGGGATGCTGCACCACCTAGCAAAGTGTGCCAAGGCATACGGTAGTAGCACTGCTCGACTCAACCCCACTCGAGTCAAATAATTTTATGATAGTGATGGAACTACTCATATTTAAGTACATTTTTAGGACCACCGTTTGGGCCACCCCATACAAGTTTTGAGCTCACATGATGACAAG